ATTCATACGATGGCTTAATCATCACGACTCAGATACTGAATACTGTTTTTATCCTAACAGAGACCTTGCTTGGGACTGTCCCAGTGCGATTATTTCACGTTATTTATCCAATGCTTTTCAGTACTGTATACGTTATGGTTACTGTTGTGTATTGGGCGTGTAAAGGGACAAATGCCTCAGGCGAGCCTTACATTTACTCTGCCATTGATTACAGCGAGAACCCCAGAGGAAGCGTTGGCACTGTCCTAGGATTCGTTTTTGTTGGTCACCCCTTAGCACAGCTTGTTTTATTTATTGTTTTTCGAGTCAGATATTGGCTGCGGAGGAAATTTAGCAAAAAACTCATTTGGTAGATAAATTAACGCCAGGTAAAGTACAGATCATAAGTCGAACTCCTTCACTACACCATAACCCCATTATCCTTTATTCTAGACTGTAACTCGACAGACATCAGGTCTTTCATTCTACAGCCGGTTACTCCAACGAACCCTTTATCAAGACTGAACGACCATTTTTTTTGTTAGTCACCTTAGAAGTTTTTTCCTTCACAATTTTAACTCAAGGGTTCAAAACTTAATTTAAAATAACTTTAACACAGGAGTCTTATAATCTTACTCTCTGATGAAAACAGAGAGCAATTTGAATTGTCTAAAATTTTAAGATAGTGTACTGATTAAAAAAAATCTTTTGAATCACAAAGTAAATTTCGTGCAATATGTTTTCGAGCTATTAACAGGAGCTACGTACGCTTTTAGGAACTGCTGATCCTCTGCTGTGCTCACAATTAAATTATCAATCTCAATAGATTCCTCATTGATTTTATTAGTTCAAGGCAGCTGCTTACAGAAACATAACAAGAGAGTTTTATATTTTAATGTAAAATCTTATCCATAACTTGGTTGAGCATTTCGGCACTTCATAGTCCTTGGAAATCTTTAGAAAACAGCTGCAAAAGAGAACAATAATCAGTTAAAGGAATTATTGCCTGCCGCTTAGCCAATCGTACTTTACCTCGTCTCAGCTTCTAAGCATGCTCTCCAGTTGGCTTGATCGGTTCATTTTCATAGAGCGTTCCAAATATATATATGTCAGCGTGAATTATTCACTTTATTTTTCAAGGGCCAAAGGTCAAAGGTTATTCATTTAACTGCCTTCAGTGGTCGTCGTTTTGGCAGTTCGCAAATGTAATCTATTGATCAACTTCGATGTCACATCCGGGAAACATTACACAAGTTAACAATTACAGTAAAAGCCCTGTTGATTTTATTTTTATTTTCATTTTTAATAATATACATGAAAAAAAATATTGAATATACTGGCTGAGAGTAATGCGGTTTTCAATACTAAACAGTGCAAAAAAGAGGGAACATTCAAATGCCAAAAGAACTGGTGAATATGCAAATGTCTCAGAGAATGTAGCACTGTAATTTGCTAATTAACAATCGAGATTTATAAGAACCAATCGGGTGCCTCAATTTGCTGGCGGATGCCTTGAACTTTTTTGCAAGTGAAAAAATGGCCGGCAAGCAAAGCCGATTTTAGTTCAGGGAACACTGTCGTGAGAGGACCACATTTTGAGTTGATTTTTGGAAGAAATGGAAAAAAGAGGCGGAAATTTCCGAAGAAATTGAGAGTTACGAGCCTGCCGACCTTAACAAACCGCTTGAGCTTTTCTTTTAAAAACGAACAAGGGAATGACTACAAACCTTACTGTTTCACTTTTATGATGACAGCTTTGGACAGGCAATTCAAAAGAGAAACGATATACAGGCTGTTCTATCAAAAAGGACGATTCAGTTCCTCGAAGAAAGTTTTGGATGGTAAAGTCAGACAACTACGTCTGGCGGGCCGTGGAAAGCGTCTTACAAAGCCACGCAGATAATTTTTTTCCATGTATATTATTGAAGGGTAATCATGACTCTTCTCGTTCAATTTTGAATTGAAAGTATCAAAATTGAAAGAATCAAGAATCAAAATTTCGAAATGACATCCCCGTGCAAATAAATTCCAAATTGTACATGAAGTGGTATGGTCGGATTGTACATATTTAACTTAAGCTTAATAAGCCTTCTATTTCTTTATCACGTCATTTTAGTTTGTATCCTCTTGAAATGAAAAGTTGAATCAGAGCTCGAAAAAAATGGAATTTTAGTTCGTCCTTTGGGCCGGTGGGGTACTACATTAACCCAAGTACCCCCCCCCCCCCACCAACCCCCCGCTCACATCACCTCCCACACAGAGACAGTCCACATACCCGTC